TTCAGAGTAGAGAAAGGTATGAATTGTAAGTTCAAGCATGCCACATCACATCTCAAATTTGCTGCAGAAGTGTTGATGCACGCCCCAAGAAATCTGCATTCATTTCCCAGTGCTGCCTTAACAAAGTACCCTAAACTGTGTGATTTCAACCACAGAGATTTATTCTCACAGTTCTTGAGGCCAGGAGTCTGAAATCAAGGGATTTTTTATTGTTTGTTTGTTTTTCCTGTGAAGGCTGTGAGGGAGGGTCTCTCCCAGGTCACGCTCCTAGATTCTCAGAGCCTCCAGAGTTCCTTGGCTTGTAGGTGGTCTTCTGTCTCTGTCTTGACATTGTCTTCCCTTTGTAGGTGTCTTTGTCTACACATCCCCTTTTTATAAGTACATCAGGCACACAGGATTAGGATTCACCCTCATTACCTCAGCTTAGCTTGATCATATGTGAAGAGCCTATTTCCAAGTAAGGTCGCATCCACAGACCATTTGGCATAGGGCTTCAGCGTCTTTCAGGGAGACACAGGACAACGCATAATACTATAGATTTGCAAATGCGTTTCTGGGTTTTATTTTTTCTTTTTCACATCAGATGGGTGATGTGATGATATTGTAACAGGTTTTGAGGAAAGCGCATGTCATACAATAGCATGAAAACCCAATCATCATGCTTAGGTTTTGGTTTTTTAATTTTAATTTTTATTTTTCTGGAGGCCGTGTCTTGCTCTGTTACTCAGGCTGGAGGGCAGTGGTGCAAACATGGCTCACTGCAGCCTCGACGTCCTGGGCTCCAGTGATCTTCCCACCTCAGCCTCCCAAAGTGCTAGGATTACAGGAATGAGCCACCATGCTCAGCTCTTCCCTATTTTTTGTTTGTACCTTGCTCTTTTTACTCAAAAATGTACCTTTGCAGCTGGGCATGCTGGCTTATGCCTGTAATCCTCAGCACTTTGGGAGGTTGAGGCAGGTGGATCACTTGTGGTCAGAAGTTCAAGACCAGCCTGGCCAACATGGTGTAACACCTTCTCTACTAAAAATACAAAAATGAGCTAGGCGTGGTGGTACATGCCTGTAATCCCAGTGAGTTGGGAAGCTGAGGCAGGAGAACCACTTAAAGGCAGGAGGCGGATGTTGAGTGAGCCACGTTCATACTACTGCACTCCAGACGGGGTGGTGGAGCGAGACTCTGACTCCAAAAAAAAAAGAAAAGGAAAATGTACATACATATATCTATACACACACACACGTAATACACACACACACACCTTGGCAATCTTTTTATATATCAGCATTCACTGGTACAATTTAAATTCTATTGTAGATTTCATTTAGATTAATACAATCTAAATACTATTCTATTAAGTTCTACAACTAAAAAAAATAGGCAGTGCATTTAAATGATTCAAAGTTCAAAAGCTATGAAAGAGCATAGAACTGAGTCTCCCATACGGCAGCAAGTGACATATGTGTTTATTGAAATCTAAGTGAGGCCAGATATAGTGGCTCATACCTATAATCCCATCATTTTGGGAGGCCGAGTCAGGTGGCTCACCTGAGGTCAGGAGTTTGAGACCAGCCTGACCAACATGGTGAAACCCCATCTCTACTAAAAACACAAAAAGTAGCCAGATGTGGTGGTGAGCCCCTGTAACTCTATCTACTTGGGAAGCCAAGGCAGGAGCACTGCTTGAACCTGGGGTACAGAGGTTGTAGTGAGCCAAGATCACACAACTTTGCCCCAGCCTGGGCAATGAAGTGAGACTCCATCTCAAAAAAGAAAAAAAATCTAAATGAATTAACATTAAAGAAAATGAAAGATTTGGTTCTTTGGCTGCGTGGGCCACATTTCAGGTGCTCCACAGCTGCAGGTGGCCCGGAAACATGGTCCTCATTGCAAAACGTTCTATTGGTTGGTGCTGGTGCAGCCTTAAAGCCGCTCTCCCACCCCCCCTCAAAGCCAACCACTGTTAGGGTTGTTTTGGTGATTCCTTTCCGAGATGATCTGTGCACACAATCAGCACGTGGAGTTAATGTTCCAGTTTAAAAAAATCAGCATCTCCATGTCGTGTGAATGACCATGGAATAGCCCATGGAATGGAATGTATTCAGCTAGGTTAATAATGAAGTGCTCCTGAGCTTTTCCCAGGTTTCCTCTTAAAATTATTCTGTGAACACCATTCTCTCTGCAGAGTAAATTCTTAACAGTGGAATTCCCTGACCCCAAGGTTTATATGTTTTTCTCATTTCTTTCCTCTTTTCTTCCTTTCTTTTCTCTTTCCTTTCTCCCCCTCCCTCTCTCTCCCTCCCTCTATTCCCTCTGTTTTCCTCTTCCTACCTCTTTCCCTCCCTTTCCTCCATGTATTTTCCCCCTCTTCCCCCCACCTTTTTCTTTCTCCACCACTTTCCTCTTTCTTTTACAAGGTCTTCTATGCAATGGCATGATACTAGATTACTGAAGCCTTGAACCCCTGGGCCCAAGCTATCTTCTTGCCTCAGCCTTCCAAGTAGCTGGGAATAAGTCCTGTGCCACCATGCCCTTCTATTTCTTTTCTTTTCTTTTGTGGAGATGGGTCTTACTATATTGTCCAGGCTCGTTTTCATCTTAGTAGGTGCTTTTCAAGGGTTCTTACCCAAGGGTACCTGGATAGAACTTAGTCACTTGAAGCACTTGTCATTGTGTTGAAGTTCTGTGTCTATCTCCTCCATCCTGGGGAGAAGATTTAAAACTTCTATCCCCTTTTCAAGCAGATCGTGACTTCAAAAAGTATACAAATGTTGGGAGGCGAGGTGAAAGAATCACATGAAGTCAGGAATTTGGGACCAGGCTGGCCAAGATGGTGAAACCCTAAATCTACTAAAAATACAAAACTTATCTGGACGTGGTGGTGCATACCTGTAGGCCCAGCTTCTCAGGAGGCTGAGGCAGATGAATTACTTGAACCTGGAAGGCGGAGGTTACAGTGAGTCAAGATCACACCACTGTACTCATCAAGGTACAAATAGCAGCTTTAGACTTGATCCCATCAGGCATGACCACTGGGCACGTTCAGCAGTGGATATCCCTATTCTGCCACAGTTTCCAGTGTCTTCTCAGGCCTGGAGTGAGCGTCTGAAGCTGGGGCTGGATACCTTGCTGCATAAATACTCTCCCCACTTCCACCTGTGCTGTCAGCCTGGGTGGGGAGAAGACCCATGTCAGGGGAGAGCCATCTTCCTCCTACAGCCCCATCTGTCTAATGGCTGAGACTTCTGCCTCATTTCCAGAACTCCCAGGGGCCCTTGAACGTCTTGTTATTTGCTAAATGTGCAAGCACAGATTGCCTCTTCCTCCCCTTGGACCTTCCTGCCACTCCCTATAGAGCTGTCTGAAGCCTGGAAATGTTTATTTGCCTTTGGAGAAATTCAAGTCCCATCTGCCCCAGACTCATCACAATTACAGTAACAGCCGGCGCTCTGTAACTTTCTGGAGCCTGTTCCAGCAGACAGGAGGTCACTTCTTCAAGTCCTCTTTGTAATCCCATAGAAGATGAGGAAACTGTGGCAGATGAGCTCATGAATACAAAGTGCCAGAGCTTGGTTTCAACCTTGAATCCCTGGGCCCAGGGGTTCGAGGCTTGGGTTCAACCTTAAAGTTTGTGGGATTTAAGGTTGGTGTGGGAAGTGTTCTGTTTGGCACCCCCTACCCCGGTGTGTGGGGATTGGTTCCTGGGTTGCCTGGAGAGCCCCAGCTTACACCTGCTGACCTGACACATTTGTAACTAGTGTTCTCTTTAACTGCAAAGTGTTGTGGATTGGGACAGAAATTCTGTGCTCACCCTGTTCACATGCACCTTGAGGAAGCTCTGACACCACTGCACAGCCTCTGATACACACTGGATAAAGCCGGTGCTAGGATGTGTCTGTCAGCAGGAAGAGCTGTGAGCATCTACATCCACATGTAGACATATTTGTACACATACATTCATATACACACATCCATATATATACACGTCTTTACACACATCCACACACACGTCTGTATACCCACACATTCATACACATATCCGTGTATTTCCATATATCTTATTCATACACATCTACACATATCCATGTACAGATAGATACATCTATACACAGATGCACACACATTCATATACACACATCTGTACACATGTCGGTGGGGATCAGGGAAACACAGCATTAAGTAGTGACGGTCTGGTAATAGCGAGTATTGTTCTGACATCATTTGGGTGAACTGACCAGCTAGTGGCTATCAGAGGGATGTGTCCGCAGGTTGGCGGGTCCATCAAAAGATGGTATTTATAGTTGCTCTTTGCTTTTCTAGAGGATCTCCTGTGTGGGGCTTTGGAGTGTAGTAAGCTGTCCCCATGGCCCACCTGCCAGTGTCTGCACCAGTGACCAACAAAGTTCTGGCTTCACTGGCCTTCTCAAGGACTTTGGATTGTACTGTAAGAAACACTAGTGTGCCATCATTCGACGTGTCTGGTCACCACGTGGAGATCAGTTACCAGCGGTGGGATCGGAGCCGGGAGAGCCAGGAGGATGTTGCAATGAGACAGGTAAGATGACCAGGGCTGGAGCTGGTGTGCAGCAGAGGTGACAGATGGGGTTTATTCTAGTCACATTCCAGAGTGACAGTCCACTGTGTTCCTGATGGATCCAATGAGGGGGTTGTCAAGGAGAGAAGAGGAGTCCTTTGTATTTATGTCTGAGTTTGTAACACAACACAGGTTTCTAATTTTGAGAAATCTGGAGTTTAAAAAAATTAAGAAAGGGTTGGGCACAGTAGCTCATGCCTGTAATCTCAGCACTTTGGGAAGCTAAGGCAGGCAGATCAGTTGGACTCAGGAGTTTGAGACTAGCCTGGCCAACATGACAAAAACCTTGTCTTTACTAAAAATAGAAAAATTAGCTGGGCACTGTGGTGTGTGCCTGTCAGCTCAGCTACTTGGGAGGCTGAGGCAGGAGAATCACTTGAACCCGGGAGGCAAAAGTTGCAGTGAGCCAGGATCCCACCACTGCACTCCAGCCTGTACTCCTCTGTCTCAAGAAAAAACAAAAATTGGGGACGGATCAGCATAGAAAGCCATTAGCTGGGCTGTCTCCTGCCCTCTGCAGTCCCAGCTTGTGTGCTCATGGCTGGGCCTGTTGGCCAAGCCTGTCATTCCAGGTGACACCAAGGCCTTTTCAGGGCTAGAGTGACCTGCAGCCACCTATGGTCAGCAAGGCTGAGTGGTTCCAGGCACAGCTGGGGATGAAACTGGTGACAGGGCCAGCCCTGTCATCTTTACAGGGAACCCCACATGGCAGGAAGGCAGCAAGCTGGCCTCTCTGCATCACTGAGCCATATGCTGAGTGACCAGGCCCATGTGACAGGTAGAAGATGAAACACCTTGTGCCCTGCATCCTCCGTGGCCAGGCTAGTGTGTGGGCCAAATGCCTCCTGATGGTCCTCATCACCCCAGCCTCTCAATATCAACATCCCATCCAAGGACAGACACAGGCTCAGCGTGAGCCCCCAGAACCTCCCCCGACCTCCAACTGTCTCCACAAACCTTAAAATATCAGCTTTTGGGCTTTTTATTCTCACCATGATAAGAAACACATGTAACATTTTGACCTAAAATACACGAGGTATTTAAAACACACACACAGGCTGATCAGGTGCTGGCCTGTGTCAGAGCCGAGGTGGTGGTGCCTGGGTGTGCCGGTATGTGTTCTGAAAGATTCCAAGGTAAGGACAGGAGCTGGGGCTGGGGGCACTTGGAGCGGTGGCTGTTGAACATCTCATGTGGGTGTTTGGGTGTCATAATAGCTGGCCCATTTCCACCTGTGTGTTCTGGATGACCTTCAGTGTTGCAGAAGCAGAAGCTTCAGAAGGTGAAATTTACCCAACAACCCATGATGTGTGATTAATCCTTTTGTCATCTATCCTATTTGATTTTGTTTCATTTTACTTTATTTGAGACAGGGTCTCACGTCATTGCTGGGATTGGATGCAATGGTGCAATCTTGGCTCACTGCAGCCTCTGCCTCCTGGGTTCAAGCGATTCTCCTGCCTCAGACTCCTGGGTAGCTGGGATTACAGGTGACTGCCATCACACATGATTAATTTTTTGTATTTTGAGTAGAGATCGGGTTTCACTATGTTGGCCAGGCTGGTCTTGAACTCCTGACCTTGGGAAATCTACCTGCCTTGGCCTCCCAAAGTGCTGGGATTACAAGAATGAGCTACTGTGACCAGCCTCATTCTACTCTATTCTTGTGCCAAGTACAGTGTCCCACGCCTATAATCCCAGCACTTTGGGAAGCCAAGGCAGGATTGCTTGAGCCCAGGAGTTCAAGAATAGCCTGGGCAACATAATGAGACCCTGTTTCTACAAAAAAAAAAAAAAAAAAAAAAAAAAAAAGCCACTGTGGTGGCACATGTCTGTAGTACCAGCTACTTGGGAAGCTGAGGTGAAAGGATCAATTGAGCCTAGGAGGTCAAGGCTGCAGTGAACCGTGATCAGGCCTGTCTGTGGGTTGTTGTGCAGGGCACACGTGTTGACTCTTCAAGGAGCCTCCAAGCCCCTGGGGTATCCCGAGTCCCCTCTTTGCCTGGTACTGGGGGTTTTGGTCCCTGGGGGCTGACCCTTTCACCTGCCTGCTCTCTGTCCCCGCAGCACTGCTGGAAAGGATGGAGGAGGATGGACAGTGGGTGGCCGCCCTGGGTGCCAAGCTGTTCGTGCCAGGGCTGGTGGGGCTGTGTGCCCTTGGCCTGCTGCAGCAGTGGGGCCAGCTTTGGACCAACTCCCTGAGGATCCAGTACAGCCTCCTGGGTAAGGCACTGCGTGCCTGGCTGTGGGGCAAGTGGAGGTGGCAGGGCCTGCCTTGTTTCCTGTGGCTGTGGCTCTGCAAGCTAAGATATGCTGTCACCACAGGATTTTCCATTAGTCATTCTGTGGGCTCTGAGTATGGCTTAGTACCTGCTCTTTAAAAAAAAAAAAGATATGTCCATTGAGGGGACATTCATCCATCTCTTAAGACCTCCCCATGAACAGGTTCTAATGGAGTGACAGGGAAAGCAGAGCACAAGGCTGGCGGGACATGGCTGAGGCCAGGCTGGGCTGGGCCCTCCTCCTCTTGGAGCCCTGGTGGAGGGCTGCCTGGCAGAGGAGGGCAGGGGTCCCTTGATTGATCCTCACAGCTCAGGCAAAGCAGCCAGCGCACGGAGCAGCACTAGCCAGAGGCTGCAGACACAGTGGCTCAGACGGCGCCTACAGGCTGGAGCTGGGCCATGAGCTCCACTGCACACAGATCCCAGCCTTCAGCCACAAGGTGGGTGCTTAGGCCGGGGTTACGTCTAAAGGGAGCACCAGAGTTAGGGAAGTGGTGATCTGAGTACCCTGAGTTCATCCCCAAAGAGATGAACTTGCTCCCAATAGCATAGCCATATAGAAATGGATCCAGGGCTGGCACTTCAGCCTCAGTCTTATGTCTATTCATCCAGGGTTGCTTGAGGCCAGGAGGCAGAGGTTGCAATGAGCCAAGATTGTGCCACTATATTCCATCTTGGGCAACAGAGATCTTGTCTCTAAAATAAACTAATAATTAAAAAAAAAGGCCGTGTGCAGTGGCTCACACTTGTAATCCCAGCACTTTGGGAGGCTGAGGTGGGTAGATCATGAGGTCAGTAGTTTGAGACCAGCCTGGCCAACATGGTGAAACTTGATCTCTACTAAAAATACAAAAATTAGCCATGTGTAGTGGCGAGTGCTTGTAATCCCAGCTTCTCTGGAGGCTGAGGCAGGAGAATCGCTTGAACTGGAGGCGAGCTATGGGAAGCACTGGGAAAAGGGCAGCAACAAGAGACACCTCTGAGTCAGCCAGACTTTCAAGGATGACTCAGGGCCCACCCTGAGCAGTCACTTTATGGAGATGAGCCCAGCATGGATGGTGGGAGCTAGGGAGCCCCTCATGGCCCTGGCTGCAAGGATGCAGGCAGTTGAAACTCAGCCTTGGTGACTTTCCCTTTTGCATCTCCAGCCCCATGTCCCCAGGGGTGAGAAATATTTCTCACAGTGCCAAGGATGGGAAGGAGGGCTTGGGAAACACAGATTTCCAACTGTAAAAATGCATTTTGGAAACAGCAGTTTGCTTTTAGTTTTTCCCAGAGGGTGGGTTGTTTTGTGGAGTTAGGAATGATGGTGTGCTTGGCAGCTGAACAGGTGCTGGTTCTTCTACAGCACACATTTCACCTTGTACATTTTTTTTTCCTTTTTCACATCCAATCCTGCAAATGGTGGTTTTTTTTTTTTTTTTGTTTTGGTGAGATGGAGTCTTGCTCTGTCACCAGGCTGGAGTGCAGTGGCATGCTCGGCTCACTGCAACCTCTGCCTCCCCTGTTCAAGTGATTCTCCTGCCTCAGCCTCCCGAGTAGCTGGGGCTACAGACATGCACCACAATGCCTGGCTCATTTTTGTATTTTTAGTAGAGATAGGGTTTCACCATGTTGGCCAGGATGGTCTTGATATCTTGACCTCGTGGTCTGCCTGCCTCAGCCTCCCATAGTGCTGGGATTGTGAGTGTGAGCCACCGTGCCTGGCCCAACCTTTTTTTTCTTGGTCTGCTGTCTCATTCTTACAAGGTCTCCAAGCTGATATCCCTTATGCCTGCTGCCTCAGTTTCTTCAGCCTTCCACCTGGTTTGAGTGTACAGCCTTGTTTCTGTGACGCTTACTGCCACAGGGTCTCTTTCTGGTTCCATGATGAGCTATCTGTGGCCATGTGCTCGTTAAATGCTCACAGTGGCTGCCCCGGCTACCCTCCTGGCAGGACTAGGAACTTGTGGCCTCTCCACCATCTGGGGCTAAGACCCTGCCCAGCACCAGGGTGGGCATCCCTGACTGGCTGTTGAATGTCACCTCCTCATCCTCTCTGCCGTGCCAGGGTCCCATGGCCACCCAAAGAGCAGTGAATTTGAAAGAGTGCTCTAGGATTCGGCATACAGTGCTGTTTGCAGCTGTAATTGACTACAGTGAGAGGAGACAGGAGTGTCGGCGCAGGGAAGGGGTCCAGGGTGGAGTCCAGGGGGAACCAGGGCCAGTACCCATGTCCTCTCCCAGTCCCAGCGCCTTCACATGGGATGCACTTGGCTGTCCCAGCACTATGTCACCCAGGCTGTTTAGTGGGGACTGTCACATTGGCAGGTGCTGCTTGGCATGGACCACACTGTCAGACTCCTAGGAGACAAGCAGGGGTCCGGCATAAACCACGTTTGTGCAAACAGTTCAGGTGCAGGAGTGGTGGGAACTCTCCCCCAGTCCAAGTTCCCAGACAACTTATGAGCAGGCCATGCAGAGGCGGCTTGGGTCTGCTGTGACAACTCAACTGTAAACTTCAGTGCCCGCTGCTCTAATCTTTTTCCCTCACTCCCCCCACCATCTTAATCCTGGGAACAGGCCCTATCTCCTCGAGGCCCAGAGGCCTCATGGTGGGTGGTGGCTACCCGTTGCAAAGCCCCTGGCCACACTGAAGGACACCTACCTGCAGGCGGTGTGGTGGGAGTGGGCAGAGGAGGCCATGTGGTGGCTGCTGGTCTGGGTGTCCGGGATGCCAGGCAACGGGGGTCCCAGGCCCATTAGGACGGCCCTGGGGGCCATGAAAGGCACCCTGGAGCTGGTGAGAGCAAGGATGGGGCGTGGCTGGCAGTTGAGGATGACTGAGACAGCTCTCACTGTCCCCTCCCTCTCCAGGTGGCCCACCAGATGCTGTCCTGGGCTAAGGCCACGTTCTCACGGGCACTGAAGAGGCTCTGCAAACCCCTGCTGGACCTGTATGGCCTCGCAGCCAGGTAACATAGGGTTGGGAGTGGCACATCCAGAGTTCCCGCCACATATCAGGCGCAATGCTGAATGCTTCCACATGCTGACTCACTGACTACTCTGACTGCCCTGCACAGAGGCTTCTTCACTCCCCATTTCAGAGAAGAGGAAGCTGGGGTTTCTTCCTCAATCCATAGAGACCTCATGAGCATGGTCCTAGTGCAGGCAGGATTTTAGGAGCTGTGCAGAGGAGCACAGTGGGCGAGGCTGACCCCTGCCTTCAGGACGCTCAGCTTCACTCAGACACGAAGCCCAAGAAATCATCTACAGCAGGGTGTGCATCACTCCCTGCAGAAAGCCTGAGAGTCACCTCTTAAGCAGGACATTCTGCTCTTTCACATTTCCTTGCTTTTGTTTTGTAATCTTTTGAGGTGGAGTCTTGCTGTGTTGCCCAGGCTGGAGTGCAGTGGTGTGATCTCAGCTTATTGCAACCTCTGCCTCCTGAGTTCAAGCGATTTTCATGCCTCAGCCTTCCGAGTTGCTGGGACTACAAGGGTGTGTAATATTGCACCTGGCTAATATATATATATATATATTTTGCATTTTTAGAGACAGGATTTTGCCACTCCAGGCTGGTCTCAAACTCCTGATTTTTGGTGATGCAACCTCTTCGGTCTTCCAAAATGTTGGGATTATACACAGAAGCAGGAGCCACCATACCCAGCCTGTTTTGTAATCTTTTAAACAAAAGTCCTTCTTTCTTGCAGGCTGTGCAGAAGCCAGCCATGGGCTGGATGTACCCACTGCTCATTTACAACCACTGAGCCATATATCAGGTGGCAAATGCTAGATAAGTAACACGGGTGAGATGGCCAGCTTTGAGAAGGTACAGTTTGAGCAAGAGCCATGGGACCAGTGTGGGAACAGAGCTCCAGGTGGGGGCACCACTGCATAGAGGCTTGGGAGAGGGATGTGCCTGGCCCATTTGTTTTTGAGATGGAGACTTATTCTCTGTCACCCAGGTTGGAGTGCTATGGTGTGATCTCAGCTCACTGCAACCTCTCCCTCTCAAATTCAAGTGATTCTACTGCCTCAGCCTCCCAAGTAGCTGGAAATACAGGCATTCACCACCCTACCTAGCTAATTTTTGTATTTTTAGTAGAGGCGGGGTTTCACTATATTAGGGTGGCCTCAAAAGCCTGGGCTCCAGAGACTAGGTGCTTGGATTACGGGCATGAGCCACCTTGCCTGGCCTGTTTGAATAGGAAGGTGGCAGGGCTGATGCAACTGGGAGGAACTAGCTCAGATGCTGCCTGCTGCCGGGTCTCTGGACACCCCCAGCCCATGGGCACAGCAGCAGGGCCATGGAGGGGCAGGTACTGTGGGGACACAGGGAAGCCTGCAAAGGCTCGTGCCATCACGGTACCAGGCCCAGAGCTTACTGGACTTCCCAAGGTCCTAAGGGACTAGAGCTGAGGCTGCACATCCTGCTTTTGTCTAGAATATAAGGCCTGGCCCGGCAGAGGAGTACAGTGGGTGGTTTAGGGCTTGAGGCCAGCTCCCTCCCTGTGGGCTCTGCTGAAGCAGGAGGCAGACCTCCTATTACAGCTGGAAGGGCACTAAGTGAATTCAGACTCACCAGTCAGGGGTGACCTGCAGCCAAAGGCGGTGTTGGGGTGACCAGCTCTGGGCTCCTGGGGAGCTTGTGTGTGTCTCAGGTGAGTCTGCTAACCTCTGTGGGCCTGGCTTCCTCACTGTGAAATGCAGGTAACATGGCCTGCTCAAATGGGTAAGGGGCATGTACTGTTCTTAATGCATGAGGGAGTCCCTCATGTCCGTGGGGGAGCCACAGTACCCAGGCTTGGCAAGGAGTGGTTTTTCTGTGTGGGACTCGCATGGAGGCCTAGGGCTTCCTAGAAGCGTGGGTGCAGCCATGTCTAAGCAGCATGCTGATGTTGTAGGAAACAGCCTGGTCTTCAAGGTGTGTGTGACTATGGGCTTCTCTGTGCCCCTCAGTTCTGAGAGCTGATCACGGGGCCGGTAGTGCCTCCCCTGGAGATCAGGTGCCTGGCTGTGTACCATAGGTGGTTCTTCCCTGCCAGGGGCACGAGCACCCCCCAGGCACAGCTCAGGGGCGACACTGGGTGGACTGGTCAGACCTCCTCCTTCACAGGCCATCTCTTCCCTATTTGGAATACAGCAGTTCTGCAGGACACTGCTGTCATGTTTGAGGGAGCCGTTGGCCATCTACTTAAACAGTCAGTTTCCCCTCCACCCCCAGTAGCTTCCTTGAGATTAAATGAATGACTTGGATGATCTGTTTTGAGACTAGGTCTCACTCTGATGGTTGGAGTGCAGTGGTGCGATCTCGGCTCCTTGCACCCTTGACCTCCTGGGTTTAAATGATCCTCCTGCCTCAGCCCTGCACAACACTGGAATGGCTTAGTGCCACCATGCCCGGCAGATCTGTGAATTTTAAGTGCACGATTCAGTGGCTTCTAGTTTACTCAGAGATGTGCATGCCTCACCACAATCGATTTTAAAACATTTTTAATTATCCTAAAATGAAACCCTGCAGCTACCAGTCTGCCTGCTGGGTCCATGGCTGTGCCTGCCCTGGACATCTGATATAAACAGAAGTATGACTATGTGGCCTCTGAGCCAGGCTTTGTTACTTAGCACAGCACTTTTGTAGCGTGTCTCAGGACTCCATTCATTGTTAGGGCTGAATTGGTCATAGCCCTTCAGCT